GGGGGTCGAGGGCGGCGGGGGCCGCCAGGGGGCGGGCGTCGCGGCTGAGGGTTCTCATGTCCCCACAGAGGATGACAGACAAGTGCTTCCGGAAGTGCATCGGGAAGCCGGGGGGCTCCTTGGACAATTCGGAGCAGGTGAGACCTTGAGGCAGGCGTGGGTCGTGGGCTCTACCGGTGAGGGGCCTCTGCGCTTGCGCAGACTAAGGGGGCGGTGTGGTGGGAACTCTGCGCATGCGCAGTCCGCTGCCCTGGGTGAGGGCCTTGGGTCCCGGGAACTCAGAGGTGAGCCGTGCGCCCTCCTCGCCCGCAGAAATGCATCGCCATGTGCATGGACCGCTACATGGACGCCTGGAATACCGTATCCCGCGCCTACAACTCGCGGCTGCAGCGAGAACGAGCCAACATGTGACCGGGAGGTGCTGGGCCTGGCCCAACTGGTGGGCCGCCCCTACCCGTGTTCAATTTCCATAAATGTGCTTTGTGAGGCAGGGGCTCGCGTGTGCGTGCTGCCTGCCACTGGTTTATGAGGATGACACTGGTGCTGGGACACGGGATTATGCCTCCCCTCTTTTGCCTAGCCGACCTCCCACCTGTCAGTGAGTGTAGTTGGGGACTTGGGGGTCCTGGAATTTCCCAAAGTGTTGGCCATAGAGTCCTCCTGTGGACCTGGGGTTGGGGCTATAGTTAGACCCCACGTGAGCTGTGACCTCTTCGGGGTGGGCTGACAAATAAATTTATGAGGGAGGGGTGGAGAAGAGTCCTGTGTCTTTTCCCTGTAGGAGGCCTCTGTCTGGGGTACCTGGGTCCCATGCCCAGACTGAGCCTGTTTCTGCCCTCCCCTCCCCCCGATTCACCCCTTCCATGCTTGCTACTGGGTTCCCTTGATGAGAGGGAATGTATTCACACAAAAAGGAGCCTTGAAGATGAGGCTGACCCCCAGCCCCCATCCTTCATCCCATCTCTGGGCCCTGGGTCATGGGCAGGCAAGTGGTTCTTCCTTTGATGTGGAAGTGCTGAGCCAGTAAGCTAGGGATCAAGGGGCTTTTTATTGGAACAAAATATACAGTAAAACTGTACTCCACTACCGGCAGCACCCCCCTGCCCACCACCTGGACTGGACTCCCCTTCTCAGGCTGGTGGCTGGCTGGTTCCTACTGCCTTCACATCTCTCCTCCCAGGCCTGGACAGCCATGGGGTGGTCACTCCTGGATGTTCTGCATGATCCAGCCTCTCACAGCAGTCACTCGGGTATAGACACCTGGGAAGTGGGGCCGCCCACAGCCGTAGCCCCAGCTGGTGACCCCAGTTAGCACCCACCGGCCAGAAGGCTCCCTGCAGGCCAGGGGTCCCCCAGCATCACCCTGAGGGGAGGAGAGAGGAAAGGCACTCAGAGCAGGCTAGTTGCATTCCTTCCCTCCCTCCCCCGTAGCAGCCCTGGGGCCAAGGGAGTACTGACCTGATCTGCACACCACAGGAGTGTCGCTTAGGCTCCCCATGTGACCCCCAATTGAGTGACTAGCTCTGTGAGCCTCACTTTTATTGGGAATTGGCTTAATGCTAGGATAAGCCATTCATCTGGCAGGCAGACATCTATGGACACCTGCCACTGAGGTTCCCTAGCAGAATGGCTTTACACTGCAGCCTGGAAATCCCTCCCTTGCAGAGCCATGGTAGGGATGTGGTAGGGTGGGAACTGGCTTGTAATGGCTGCCCAATAAATGGTGGTCCATTGAAACCTCATGGCCGGAAAGGTTCCCTGGTTGATCAGCCTAAGTTTGCACCAAAGAGTGGGTCCTGGCTGTGGGCTTTAGAGTGACCAGTACCTTACTCTCCCCCGATGGATGAGACCTGGACCCTGACAGAGCCCCCATTTCAATTTTAAATTGTGCTCACCGAACAACTGTCCACCCCACCCTGTGGGAAGCCGGCACACAGCATGCGGCTGCTGATCTGCACTGGGTAGTAGCGGCGGCAGGCCTGCTCACTGAGGAGGCGCACAGCTGCCTTCTGCAGTTGCCGTGCCATGGAGCCTACAAGCGAAAGGGCCGTGGCGCCACAAGGGACCAGGCTGGAGGCCTTCCTGATGTCCCCAGACCAATAACCCCTGAGGGTGCAGGGCCTGGCTTTGCCTATCAGGCTCGCCTACCTCCCTCACGCACCGAGCCCCAGCCGGTGATTACACAGCGCGCCCCATCAGGGGGCCGGGGTGCAGGCTCAGGCAGGCAGATGGGCCGTACCAGGCGGCTTCGGTGCACAGGCCCCACCAACTCCAGCAGTGCCACGTCATAGTCGAGTGTGTAGAGGTTGTAGAAGGGGTGCTTGTAGATGCGTGCCACACGCTCCAGCTGCCCATCAGCGCCATTCAGGTATGGTGTGCCCAGGAAGGCCACCCACTGCTTGGGATCTCCATAGCTGTAGGGTGCATGGGGACAGGCGTCCCAGATCCCCAAGTTCCAGTTACCACCTGCCTGGGGCTCCTCTGAACTCTGCCTGGTGGGACTGTGGCCAGGTCCTTGCCTGTGCCCCAGGGGGTCGGTCAGGGACTGGGCAAGGCACTTGACCTCTCTGGGCCCCTGGTTGCTCATTTGGAAATGGGGCTGAGTCATTCCTTCCTCCTAGGATAGTGATGGGGGAGCCTATGCCTGAAATGCACACACAGCAATGAGGTGACATGAACTGTCTATTTCTGCCCAATATTAGGGCTCTGGTGGCCAAGAGGGCCCCCTGCCCTGCCTGCCCATTCCCTCTGACCCTGCCCTGCAAGGTGCAGAGTGTGCACCCAAGAGCTGTGCATCTCCACAGGGGTCATGGCCCCTGGCCTGGTCCACCCTACTGCGCAGCCTGCCGTGAAGGGGACTCCCCAGTGTGTGGCCTTTGGAGGATGGAGATGTCTCAGTTCCCCAGAAACCCCATGTCACCAGCAAGCCTGGCCCTGGACTGGGAGAGGCTGCAGCCGTGGGGTGTGGGAGTGTGGGGTAGCCGCAGTGGTGTGCGTGTAAGACTAAGTCACCGCAGCTCTGTGTGGTGAGCGGGCAGGGGTGGGCTGCATGGAGTAGGGGTGGCGGTGGGTCTCAGTTGCGGAGGTAGGGGCATTACAGGGAAAGGTGCTGAGACATGACACAGTAAGTTTGGGGGCCACAAGTCGGTCCTGGTGAACCAGCAACAGACCGAGGCCTTGGGGGCGGGTCGGACTCACACGTCAAAGCAGTGTGCAGCAGACAGCAGCCACCTCTCAGCCACCAGCACGGCCCCGCATCGGTGCTCCCGGCGCCGCAGCCACAGGCTCACCTGCCATGGCCACTCCCCAAGGCCTGCGGCGCTGCCGCCCACGATCCTGGTCAGCGCTGCCACAGGTGCTAGGCCACAGTCTGCAGGGGAGCGGGCACAGGGCGTGGGCAGTTGCACAGTGCCTCTCGTGGGTGTGTGTGTGTGTGAGTGCCTTGAAAAATCTCTGCACAAACACTGGACTTGGCTCTTGGTCCTACAAATGCGCCTCTTCTAGGCTTTTTTCAAATACTATGGGTCTCTGCCTCCTCCCTGGATGGGGACCAGGATAGTGTCCTCTCCCACTACCGCCCCTTCCCAGGCATCTCTCAGTTCCCTAGGAGCCAGGTTCCCTGCTGGCTCAGGATTTTTGTACACCCTTCAGCACTGCCAGAAGGCCCCTGCCTGTACCACCAGCTTCCGTGCTAGCTTGTCTTCACACACACCCTTGAGCTGTGACACTCTGCCCAGCACAAGGTTCACCCTCAGAACAATTGTAGAAAGCACCAGGTGGTTTCAAGAGTGTGCTGCAGGGATTCATCACCCACCCACCAGGGGTACTCCTACCCACCCGATTCCCACAGGACCATTCTAGAGCCTGTCCCCTTGCCCAGCCACTCTTCAGCACCCAGCTGCCTCCCCTGCCCTCCAGATTTAGGAAAGGCCCTCCTCCCCCAGCTCGGTTGGAAGAAGAGGGGAGACAAAAGGCCACCTGCCCCATCCGTGCTAGCCCTACTGCCTCTTCCCTTTTGACACCATGTCGACCTTGCCCTGGACCAAGGGGCCTGGGGAATCTGATGAAAGCTGCACTCCGTTCCTGGAAATGCTGCCCCCACAGTGGAAAATGCCTGCCATTTCAGGGCCTTCCTCCACCTATGGGCCCCCAAGTTAACTCACAGCCTACAGCTACTGGAAAAGGGGAAATCATCAGGCTAGAGGCCCAACCCAGCTAAAGCTAGCTGGGGAGTTAAAAAGAAACTTTCAAGAACAGCTACAGCTATACAGTATCAAACACCCCAGTCCTCTGAGTGCCCCTGCTGGAAACCTTGTACCCTAAACCCAGACGGGCAGAAAATGCTGTGAAGGAAAGGTCCCCCTAGGGCCTGGAGGGTCTAAGTCACTAAAACACTGCCTTGACTTCCATTCCAGGTGCAGGGCTCAGATAAGAGGGTTCCAGACTCAACATGTCACCTCTAATATTTTTTAATATTTTTATTGATTTCAGACAAAAGGAGAGGTAGAGAGAGAGAAACATCAATGATGAGAGTCATTGATCAGCTGCCTCCTGCATGCCCCCTGCTGGGGATTAAGTTAATGTCTGCCTGGGGAATGGGTGGGATCACTAACCTGGGGTCCACCTGGCAAATCCCATGTCATGCAGAAGCCAATGTATTCTCTTTAGTCCCCCAGACACTACAGATGGCTTCTGCTAACTTAGTCTTAGCTCGAGCCAAATGAAATTACCTGTATTTGATAGGGCTTTATTTTTTACCTACAAATAGAGTAGTTTCATATATTTCTGATTAATAGTTAATAGAAATGAACTCAGCACTTTAGACACAAGTGAAAAGATCTCAGGGCTATGTTCGCTCTCTGTGTCTCTACTAGCCAGTTAGATAACTCCTCAGCCCGCACTCCTGTGCTCCAGCTTTGTCCTGCTTGGTCTTCCTTTCACTCCTATGTGCCATTCTATTATGAGTTTATTTCTCAGCCTTCTGGGTCCCTGCTGTACCTGAGCTTGGCATGGGGTCTGGCACAGAGGAGGGCCTTATGAGCATGGGATGAGGGGATGGAGAAGTCCCCTCATGGAGAACCCCAGTCAGGGACTCTCCCATGCACTATGGTGCATGCCCCTGAAGTTTCCTTTTTAAATTGGGAGCAGCCAGGGGTTGCAGGTTAAGGCATTTGCCACTAGATGGTGTAGGTCTGCCCCGTCAGTGCCCGTGCCCATGTCCCTGGCCATCAGGATGATGGGCAGACATGTGTCCCCCCAAGAGCCATAGTTAGAGCCCTGATCTCCAGGACATCAGAATTTGGAGATAAGGCCTTTAAGAAGTGATTAAGGTAAAATGAGGTCATTGGTGTGGGTCCTAATTCAATATGACTGGTGTCCTAAGGAGATCAGGACAGACACACACAGAGGAATGACCATGTGAGGACACAGGGAAAAGATAGCTGTCCACATGCCAAGGAGAGCGGCTTCAGGAGAAGCCAGCCCTTCCACCACCCCTGCTGACTTCTGACCTCCAGGACTGGGAGACAGTAAATGTCTGTTGCTTAAGCCCCCAGCCTGTGGGATGTTGTGACAGCAGCCCTACTAGACCGATATAGGACCCCTGCCACCCACGTGTCACTCCATTCCTCCCAGTACCTGGTAGCTTGGAGTCCTTGGTGGTCCTTGAGGCATTTGGAAGTGGTGTCTGTCCCCTAGTAGTTGTGCTCATGGCGGTGGCAGTCCTGTTGGCAGGTTGGCTGTTTGTCCTGCTGGTGGTCCAGAGGGTGGGTCTGCTGGCTGTTACCCCCAGGACTGTGAGGCCAGCCATTGTCCTGGGGATGTGAATGGTGGTGGCAGGCATCCTCATGGTGGAGGAGGCAGGTGTGGGGAGGGGGTGGGAGGACATGATGTCCAAGATCCAGCCTTTCAGACTGGTGATTCGAGCATACACGCCGGGTTTCTTAGCCTGAGCACAGCCAATCCCCCAGCTGACAATTCCTGCCAGATAAAACACACCAGGGGTCTCCTCACAGGCCAGGGGCCCCCCAGAGTCACCCTAAAAAGAAGGAAAGAGGGCTGGCTGTGACCATCTGTCACCTCTCTGCAGAGGTCACTGCCAGGACCTCCCTAATTCCCACAGTTGGAGAGGCCCATCAGGGGAGCAAGAGGACATGGCATGGGGACCCAGAGACTAAAACAGCCCCACCCTCATCCCCATGCCCCACCTCCCCAGGAGTGATCCTGTTGGACAGTGTGGTCATATGTGTACTAATCTGTGATTAGCTTTTTCTTCAGTTACTATACACTGTACATTTTAAAATATGTGTATATAAAATTTTACCTTATGTATATATAGATATATTTAAATATGTATATATTTTGTATATATCTACCACATAAAATTTTTTAAAATAGATTTTAAAAAAATGTTTTTATTGATTTTAGAGAGAAAGGAAGGGAGAGGAAGAGAGAAACATCCATCGGCTGCCTCCAGCATGACCCTACAGGGGACTGACCCCACAACCTGGGCATGCACCCTGACTGGGAATCGGACTGGTGACCTCTTGGTGCGTGGGATGACATTCAACTAACTGAGCCACACCGGCCAGCGCCTACTACATAATTTTAAACTGCTACCTCATCCTCTGCTGGGACATACTATAATTTCTCTAAATTATACATTTAAAGACATTAGTTCATCTCCCAATTTTCCCTGCACTGAAAATCCTTTTCCTTCTATCGAGTCCATACAAGTAGCACTGCCGGGGGGGAGGGTGTGGGCGCTCTGTCCGAATCCCACCCAGTGCCCTCTGAATGCTACCTGGCAGGAGTCGACCTTGCCCTCCAGGAAGCCGGCACAGAGCATCCTGTCTGTGAGTGAGAAGTTGTAGAGGGCGCTGCACGCCTTCTGGTCTATGATGCCCACGGACGCTCGCTGCAGAGTGTCTGGCTTCGTTGCTGCCAGGAAAAGGA